GTGTGTCAGGAGGAATGGACACACTGGAGGACATTTCTCCTTATCGTTATTTTTAAGGAACCTCACATTTCCAGATTTGTTTGTCTCTCCCCACCCAGCAGGTCAGTGCAGCTGATAATATTGGAGTGGAAACGCTGGTTTGTTTTCTGTGAGAGAGTATAGCTGAACATTGCTGATAAAGTGAACATGATTTTGATCTGGATATTACAACAGTTTTGTGTGTTTGATCATTCAAGGCTGCTTTATTTTTGTCCACAAACCACAATGCCCTTTACATGTTTTTGTTGTTTTTAATCTACTGCAGGAAAAACTCTTCTCTCCTAAAAGAACATCAGCACAAGCATGGCCCTGTGGTGCAGAGGCTGCTGAATGTATTGGACCACTGGGAGTTGAGTAAACTTTGCACTGACTAGATGTACTGATCTTTAGGACTAAAACATTCAGCATGAAAGACCTATTTGGGTTTCAGATTTATTACAGAGGGAAGATCCATAATGATGCACAGAAAGGTTGAGCTGCTAGAGAGAGACAAAAATCACTAAACTAAGTTATTTCATCACGTAGCAGAAACAGTTACGTTTGTGAGAAGGTGAGATGTTTTTCATGCTTTATGTGATGAAGAGATGACATCTGGTCTGTGGACCCACCTTTTTCTTTTTTTACTTTCTTTTATTATTTTTCATTTTTCAAACTTATTTGGCCATTTAACAGAAAAGTTAAGAAAAAAACAAACAAATAAGTAGGAAAGAATAAACAAAAGACAGAAACAAGCATACATGAGGGAGTTTCACAGGTACATGTCACTTCTCACAAACATCGTCATCTATCACAGAGTGTGAAAACATATTTTCCAGTATTTCCCCCTGTGCTGATGATGGAGAGAATAAATCATACGTTCCATAATTTGTATCACCAGAGCAGTTGTGGAAGTTTCTCTTCTGAGCCAGAACTTTGTGATGCTTTCTTCACAGCATCAAGAAAAATCCTGAACATATACCAGTCACTTTGGTGTAGTCCCCTGGGGGGTACACTGAGAAACAGTGCAGAGAAAGACAGATCCACTCTGGCATCTAACAGATGAAATTATTCACCTTTAAGCAACAGTCAGTTGTACCTGGACAGGACCAGAACATATGAAGTAGATCCACACTCCGTCCAGCTGCACAGCCGTGACCTGTGATCTCTGCACAGGTGTAATAAAGAACCGGATCGAGCTTTTCCAACAGAAATCTTCCGAGGTGAGTGAGTGAGTGAGTGGTGCAGTTTGAGATTTCCATCCACAAATCTTCTGATATTTCTGTTTTTAAATCTTTATCCCATTGTTTTTTCACATGAAGGTGAATTTTATTATCAGTTGAAATTAAGATTTTGTAAAATTTTCCTATAATTTTTTTGTACCACCACTTTTATACGTATCCACAAAGACCTGAACAAGGCTGGAGGGGTTTTCAGTCAGTGCGCTCTGTATTTCCTTCACAAAGTAGTGACGGAGCTGGAGATATCGAAACAAATCATATTAATCTAGATCAAATGTGACTGAGAGGTTTTGAAAACTGTCCATGTGGCCTTTAGAAGTCATGTTGCTGATTGTTGTTATGCCCAGTTGCAACCACTGTTTAAATCTATGAACTACTGGTTGAAAGTGTGGGCCGCACACTGGCCTGCCCAGGATCCCAGTTTGTCTATGAAGCTGAAACATCTCTACGATTTGTGACCATATTCTGATGGATGTACGTAAACAGAAGTTCTAATGCTGAAGACGTGATTCTGCAGTGTGCACAACCCAGTGCTGACTGGTAATCCACTCATGGAGAGCTCTAATCCTTTCCATTGAGCCTCATAGGTTCATCACACCAAAGAGTCTTAACTGAGCTGTGAAGTAATAATATCTGAGACGTGGCAAAGCCAAGCCACCCCCGTCCTTTGGCAACTGAAGGGTTGTATATTTTACGTGTCTTTTTTTTTTTTGTTCCACTCAAACCCGGATATGCATTTGTCCCATTCTTTGAATTGACTTAGGGGAATCTCCGCAGGTAGTGCATTAAAAAGATATAATAATTTATGTAAAATTACCATTTTAATTGACCTGATTCTTTCCCCTATGTCCAGGGGGAGTCAGCTCCATCTGTCCAGGCCCTGTTCATTTCCTTTGTAATATTTTCATAGTTGCTAACAAAAAGACAGGAGAGGTCCCTTGGCATGGCCCACTTGACCAAGCACCACTCCCCACATCACTAGCATCTGTGTCCAACACCAAGGCCTTCTTCAAACAGTTGAAGGCCTGTTCGCACTCTGGTGTCCAGGCAAAATCACTGTCATTACGCTGCAGCTTGAACAGTGGCGCAGCTATGCAAGAAAAGCCACACACAAACCGCCTGTAGTAGGATGCTAGTCCAATACAGCTCTTCAACTCTTTCAGACTGGATGGGGTCAGCCAGTCCTTCACAACTTGCACTTTCTCCTCTAAAGTGCATAAGCCCTCTCCTCCATTCTTGTTCCCCATAAACTCCAGTTCTTTTCTCGTGAAGCAGCACTTGCCTGGCTGGAGCTTCAAACGTGCTGCTGCTATCCTTTGCAGAATCCGCCGCAGGAACATTAAGGCAGCCTTGAATGAGTCCCCGTGAACAAGAATGTCGTCCAAGTATATTAGACGCTCCTGTTGCAGGATTTCAAGGACACAGTGAGAGATAATTTTTTTATACCTCGTTTTTCTTTTCCTCATGTTTTCACTTTCTTTTATTGACAAAGGTGGCACTGCTGTCTGTGGCTACGGTCTCAGACATCTTGTCTCCCCATTTCTGTTGTTTTCTTGGTGGAATGTACTGAAATGAAATGTCCCTTTGGGATCAATAAAGTATAATGATTGATTGATTGATTGATTGATTGATTGAGTCCAAATTTATTCAATTCTTTGGTGAATCTAAGGTTTGAGAACCGAGTTTTCTTACAAAATCCTGATGATGGTTTCTTAATTTTTCAGGGGTCATCCATCCATCCATCCATTTTCTTCTACTTATCCGGGGTCGGGTCACGGGGGTAGCAGCCTAAGTAGGGAGGCCCAGACTTCCCTCTCCCCAGCCACTTGGGCCAGCTCTTCCGGGGCAATCCCAAGGCGTTCCCAGGCCAGCCGAGAAACATAGTCCCTCCAGCGTGTCCTGGGTCTTCCTCTGGGCCTCCTTCCGGTGGGACGTGTCCGAAACACCTCACCAGGGAGGCGTCCAGGAGGCATCCTAAACAGATGCCCGAGCCACCTCAACTGGCTCCTCTCGACGTGGAGAAGCAGCGGCTCTACTCTGAGACCCTCCCAGATGATCGAGCTTCTCACCCTGTCTCTAAGGGAGAGCCCAGACACCCTGCGGAGAAAACTCATTTCGGCCGCTTGTATCCGAGATCTCATTCTTTCGGTCACAACCCAAAGCTCATGACCATAGATGAGGGTAGGAACGTAGATCGACCGGTAAATTGAGAGCTTCGCCTTTTGACTCAGCTCTCTCTTCACCACGACAGACCTGTACAGCGCCTGCTTCACTGCAGACGCTGCACCTATCCGCCTATCGATCTCACGCTCCATTTTTCCCTCATTCATGAACAAGACCCCGAGATACTTGAACTCCTCCACTTGAGGTAGGACCTCCTCCCTGACCCGGAGAGGGCACTCTACCCTTTTCCGGCTCAAGACCATGGCCTCAGATTTGGAGGAACTGATCTTCATTCCGGCTGCGTCGCATTCGGCTGCGAACCGCTCCAGCGAAAGCTGTAGATCATGATCTGATGAAGCCAATAAGACCACATCATCTGCAAAAAGCAGAGACGCAATCCTAGGGCCACCAAAACGGATCCCCCCAACACCTCGGCTGCGCCTAGAAATTCTGTCCATAAAAGTTATGAACAGAATCAGTGACAAAGGGCAACCTTGGCGGAGTCCAACTCTCACCGGAAACAAGCCCGACTTACTGCCGGTGATGCGGACCAGGCTCTGACACCGGTCATACAGGGACCTAACAGCCCGTATCAAAGGGCCTGGTACCCCGTACTCCCAGAGTACCCCCCACAGGGTCCCCCGAGGGATGTGGTCGAACGCCTTCTCCAAGTCCACAAAGCACATGTAGACTGGTTGGGCAAACTCCCACGCACCCTCCAGGGGTGTGCTGTTAAAATTTAGGGGTGCTTCAGTGCCACCAAAAAGAGGCTAAAACCACCACTACGGATCTCTGAGAGGTGATCTTTACATCCAATACAGGCCTATTTATGGACAGACACTTGTGACATCCGAAGCTGAATTTGAATTGGTCACAAAGAATCTGTATTTGCGTCATATGAAATGAAATCTATTGGTTTGACAATGAGTTTCAATAAATTGAAACTGAATTCATTTGTTTTGAAACTGTATTTCATTGTATTGAAAATTCAGTTTGACTACTTTCATTTTCACTTCTATGATTCAATTTCAATTCAAAATT